GCAACTTCACGTGCTTTACCCCGCTCGGTCGCCTTATGCATCTTGTCTTCAAGTGTCAGATTTTCAGGCGGTATTCATCCTTGTAACTTATCGTCAAGAAACCCATTTGAGTTCGGACTGTCCTGCTGAAGAATAGCCCGGGGCGCAGAGCGCTAGGCGCTCGACGAAGCTGCCGAAGCCCCCTCAAAGAAGAGCAGCTGGCGCGGTCGCGGGCCCTGCAATCTTCGACCCTGCCCCAGCAGAAGATCTTGCTCGGGCCAAACCGAGGCGCATGACAAATCGCACGTGGAAGCAGAACAACACTTCTGCATTTGTCCGCTTTGCCTGGGCGATCACATAGGAGCTGGCCTTGCCAACAGGACGCCGCGCAAACCCTGCGCCGGGTCTCTCGGTGCACCAAACCCACGGGCGCGCGTGCGACAAGCTGGCCCGCTGTTCCATCGCCGCGACGACGTGGGCGCCTGGCGCGAGCCTGAGTCGGCAGAGACTGATAATGGGCAGCTGCATGCCAACTGCTGGCTTCGGCAGCGCGATTCAGATCCTTGGCCGCCAAGTCCATTGCAAGTAATATATCTCGTGGTAGTTATGTCGGTCGACGTTAGTTCCAAGACGAACATGGCTCGGCGGCGCCACGCTCCAAACCAGTTTTGGGCGCCCGAACTATCCGGGGCAACTCGGGCCCGGGGCAGCGCGGGTTTGGATTTCCCGGAAAACGAACCCGAGTTAGCCCTGACCCGAATTACCCCTGATGATTTGGGGCTCTGGGCGCCCGAGTTAACCGGGGTAGCTCGGGCCCGGGAAAACTCGGGTTCGGAATCCCGAAAGACGAGCCCGAATTAGCCCCGACCCGAGTTACCCCCGATGATTCGGGGCTCTGTTAATTGGTAATTCGCGCCAGGCGGCCCCATTGAGGCGAGGGGGGAAGCGGGGAGATGGCGCCGGCAGGATCGAGCGCGCGTCTGCCATCCGCGCTGCTCAAGCACTCGGCGAGAGCTCCCACTAGAGGGCGGTCGGGACACGACGTCGCAAGATCAGCTCGCGTTGGCCCATGACAAAGATCGCGCGCATGGGCCCCATGCTTCGTAGGCCACGCCGGCCAGGCATGTCGCCGCCCGATCGGCTGACAACGGATGCTGCACAGCTGCGGATAACAGCAGTGCCCCGTTCATCCGCGACGGCAATGGGGGCGCTCACCTGCTGGGTGCACTCTTGGGCCCCGTGGCCAGCACCTTGGACGCCCAGAGGCTTGCCCGCGAGGACCAGCCGCGGCCGGCGCCCCCCCACCACGGCTCGTCGGCGCAACCAGCGCACGCGCCCCTCGCCCATGAGGTTGGCCCACGCGCCTGCGCCCACGATGACGCCGGGCTCGCCCGAGGGGAGCTGCGCGCGAATGATGCACCTGAGCGGCGCACTCGGTTGTGGGGCCAGCGGCTGGCCGCCGCAGCACATCGGCGCCACCGCCACGCGGTGGGCCTTGAGGCGGCGGCTGCCCCCGGGCGGGCGCAAGAGCGCCGAGGGCGATCTCGCCGATCGGTGCGTCTCGCGGCGTGGCGAAGACACCGCTAGCGCTGGAGGGCACGTCCTCGCGGGGCGCTTCACGGGTCGCGGTGTCGACACGGATGCGCGTGGCCTCGCGCGCGATCAGATGTTGCCTACATGTTGGGCACCGTGAGAATGGTGCCCGTGCCTGATCGCCACGGAGCGCTTCGTCTACCGCTCGCACCTGGGCGTTGCCGAGCAAGGGGCGGCCCAGGCGTCGGCGGCGCAGCTCTGGTGGAAGCGACGGCCACGCAGAAGAATAACAGCAAGGTCCAAGTTGACGCGGCGGAAAAAAACATGCCGCACATCTCAACGATTTCTGATTCTGCGCGCAAATCCGACGGCAGCGGCGGCGGAACGACGGTCGGGGGGCCAACCGTGATCATGTCGATCATCTGTTAGGCGCGCCCACAGCGAGGAGCGCGCCGCGGCGCCCGCGCGCGGCTGGGCGCGCAGCCCGCGGCGGCGCGGCGCTCTGGGACGAGCCAGATCGCAGCCCCACCGTAGCGCGCAGCCCGGTGTCGCTGCGTGAGCAACAGCGAGAGGAGCACGTCGGTGGTTTCACTGCGTCGCCTCGAGAAATCAATGAGTTCGCGGGTTGCCTGGAGGCGCGACTGCTCGCCCAATGGGCCTCACTGCGTGGCGAGGTTCGCGATGGCGTAGGTCACGGCGTCCTCTTGCTGGCCGTTGACCATGCCCCCCCCCCCCGCCATTTCTGCGAAACCCGTGGAGCGCGCGAGCTCGCGAGCGGCACCACCTAGTTTGAGAATGACGGCAACGCGTTTTGAGCGCTGTCCATGTCGGTCGCTAGCACGCTCCATGCGAACAAGTCCTGTAACGGGCGGAAAGGATACACGGACCCGCGCTCGGGTGACCACGAGGGCGGCTGGCGGAATGCGATGGCGCCGCGGCCGCCACCACCCTGCGGGCCAGCTCCACCAAGCATCATGCCCGTGAGCCAGCGCAGGACGGCCACGAAGAACACGAGGATGCTGCCCCAGAACATCAAGATGGAGATCACCCGCGGTAAGACCTCACCACGATGATGGCTGCGCAGGCGCCTCGGGACTCGGGCCTTCGCAGGGGCGAACGCCATGTCGAAGTGCGGAATAGCCATGGTGATGCCGCTGTCAACCTTGGCCGGAGTCGAGGGCGGTGAAACTAGCACATTGACTTGCAGTGCTCCGCCTGGGTCGTGCGATGTGCTAACAGGGACAACCAGCACGATCGCACACGTACCGAAGCACGGCGCTAGCCCAGGATGGAGCCCCGCAGCCATACCCGACGTGAAACTGCGGGCAGTGCCTGTGCAGCTACGATGGGTCGACGAACAGAATGGCGCTCTTGTGGGCGAGTCGCTCCTCATCGCGGGTACGCCTTCTGTTCTTGCCCTCGCGCAATTGGACTGGGTGTGGAGGGCGAACTGCCGGTTGGCGTGCAGCCAGAACGACAGGCTGTTCAAGGAATGGAGGGAAAGGTAAATGCGAATGTGCGTCCATACCACACTCTTCTCACGTTCCGTGGACCGCGAGCTGGGATCACTCCCAGCTCCGCTACCAGCTAGAATTGCGGGAGGTGGAAGCTGTATGAGAGAAAGCATGGCGGCAATCAGATGTGGATTGCGGGGCTTTTACTCTTCGGACAGTAAATAGCTATGCATCGACGCTCGGGCCAAACAGCGGCGACCCCTCCTGTTCGAGTAACGAGGAGGAGAAAGGAAGCATGAGAAGGCAGGAAGTAGGAGGTGAGCCTGACTGCGTCAGTGTGTGCGTGCTGATAATGATGGTGGTGGTGATGATGACAATGATGGTGACGGTGATAGTGACAATGATGATGATGATGATGATGATGATGATGATGATGATGATGATGATGATGATGACGCTGATGATGATGATGATGATGATGGTGGTGGTGGTGGTGGTAATGATGGTGATGATGGTGATTGTGAGTGTGAGGACAGGGTGTGGTGATGATGGTGGTGAGATGGTGATGGTGATGATGGTGTTGGCGCTTGTGATGTTTAAGATACTGCTAATGGTGATGGGTGGTGATGGTGATGGAGGTGATGCTGATGATCATACATAAGGATGCGGATGACGATGATAGTGATACTGGTGGTAGTGGTGATGGTGATGTCGATGACGAGTATGATGACGATGATGGTGATGGTGCTGATGACGATGATGAGGACAGTGGTGATGAGAATGATGATGGTGTTGATGACTATGATGATGATGACGATGGCAATGATGGTGGGGAATGTGATTTTCATAGCGATGCGAATGTTTATACTGATAATAACGATGGTGATGATGGTGATCACGATGATGATGCTGATGCTGCTGCTGATGCTGCTGATGCTGACGCTGAAGATATGATGGTGATGATGATGGTGATGATGACAATGCTGATGATGATGATAATGAGGATGATCATGATGATGCTACTGTTGCTGGTGATGATAGTGATGATGATAATGGTGATGATGATGATGAGGCTGATGATGATGTGGGGGGTACTGTTCCTGAGGGGGGTGTCCAGAAAAAAACAAGAACGCCACTCGGGGTGTGGGAAAGAAGTGAATATGCTAAACGTAATCGTTTTTCCTGAGGGGCAATTCTTGCCGCTCGGGGCCCTCGAAGGGTTTGGTTCTCTAGGAACCGTCTTGGGGCGTCTTTGGTGCCCTTTGGGCCGTCCTGAGGCCATCCTGGGCCGTCCTGGAGCAGTCTGGAAGTCATCTGGGGCGTCTGGAGCTTCTATCATGGGCCCTGGGGCTTCGGGAAGGCTCGGAGGAGGCTCCGGGGGCGCCCCGGGTAGACTCCAGGAGGGGAGGGCACTTCATGTACCCTGGGTGCCCCTGGAGTGCTGCGGCCACTGGCCCCCCCTGGGCTGGGTTTCTGGTACGTGGGAGACAACAAACAAAATGGAATTCGCGTTACAGCGTTGGCCACACTTCAGAATCGGCGCTCTGTCCCCGTCGATACAAATGGCGCTCTCACCCCAGCGCGGGCCACAATGCTGCATCCGATGCCTTCCTCGCAGTTGCCAACCACATCCTTTCCCCTCCTCTGCCTTGCCCTGGTCCTCCTGCTCCGCCCGTTTCTCCTCCACCTTCCTCCTCCTCCTCCTCCTCCTCCTCCTCCTCCTCCTCCTCCTCCGCCTCCTCCGCCTCCTCCTCCTCCTCCTCCTCCTCCTCCTCCTCCTCCTCCTCCTCCTCCCCCTCCGTCATCCTCCTCTGTCTTTTTGTCATTCGCCACCTCTGCCTCAGTCAGTGTACACATGTCCCTTATCTGATCGCGCACCACACGATGGAGTCACTTGGGGGACTCACGTCCGCAAGGACGCCGTCGACGGACAAAGAACCATCAGCGCTGGGGGCAGGGATGGGTGGGAGGGGTAGGATATCAGATATGGCGCGAGCGCATAGGGTTCGCCTCCTCCCCCCCTCCCATCCCCTCCGTCGTGGTGGTCACTGTGCTGCTGCTCGTGACGCTGGTAGTGCTCTTAGTCGTCGTGCTCGATGCCGTGGTGCTCGAAAGAGTTGTGCTGGAGATGCTGGTTGAGGTGGTGACCTGAGCATCCGACCGACCCCGCCGCGAATCGGTAAGCCCAGACGTCTTGACAGCGCGTTCGGCTACAGCACCAGTGAGCCCAGTGAGAGAGGGCGCCCCAGAGCCTGCCTGGCGGTATGCTACCTGGCGATAAGTCGTTCCTCCCGAGGTGCCCCGTAGTCGAGACATTGAGCGACACAAGGAGGTTACACTCAAGGAACCGCCAAAGTGTCTTGGTAGCTCTGGCCCTGGCGAGGCACCCTGATCTCGTTTGCCCCACTCGTATAATGAGATGCCCTGATTCGGATGAGGACGCGGACGTGGACGCGGACACAAACAAAGAAAATTACTCGGACACGAACGCAAAGGCTGATTTAACTGCGGCTTCAGGTTCTGACTCGACTGCGGGTTCCGACTGGGATTCGGTTTCGGCTATGAATTCAGGTTCGGTTCAAGCTCGGATGAGAAATTTAATTCGGGATCGGTTTCGCCCCTCCCCCCCGACCTCCCGCGGTTCCCCTGGAGAGGGAACAAAATCACTGGGTAGCGCGAGGGGGAGCGTGAGGAAAAGGAAGCATGTGGCCAGCGCTAAGGCGAGAAGGGCGACCTGACTTAGGAATGGGGCCGTTGCGGAGCTTGGAACGCAGTAGGCGACAGCGCAGTTCGAGCCAGAAGCGTGGCCTGCGCGAAAGAGCGATGTTCACTCTCGACGCCCGCATGCGCCGAGGGTAGCCTCTAACGCGGTCGGGTTGAGGGACAACCTACTCTCGCTCGAAGCTCTGAATGATGACACTATCGATCACTAGCTAGGCATGGGATTAGCCCGGCTGGTTGCTCACGCACAACAATTGGCCCGAGCAGCGATCGCTTGACGGTCGAGCTTAGCCGCGCAGCGATCATGGCACCCGGGCTGCAGACAGTCGTGGACGTGCGTGTTACGGTCGTGCTGGAAAGTGTGGAGCTCGAGGTGATGCTGAGTGTGGTGGTGGAGCTGAAGGATGTGGAGCTCGCTGTGGTGGTGGAGGACCGCGTGGTCGACGAGACCGATGTGGTGGTGCTGGTCTCAGATGTAGAGCTCAGAGTCGTTGTGGACACTGTCGTGGTAGTCACAGTTGTGGTGCTTTCCGTCGAAGTAGACACGGAGGACGTCGATGTCTTCGAGGTGGTGGTCAACGTCGACGAGCTGGACATGGTCGTACTGGTAAGAGACGTCGTAGTAACAGAAGAAGTGTCAGATGACGAAGTCGCAGATGTTGATGACACAGAGGTGGTGGAGCTGAGCGTCGTCGAACTGGTCGTCGACGTGCTGCTGTCCGTCGTGCTGCTGACAGTCGTGCTAGATGACCTCGTGGTTGTGCTCACCGTCGTCGATGAACCTGTGATTGTGCTCACCGTCGTCGAGCTGGTCGCCGACGTGCTGCTGACAGTCGTACTCGATGACTCCGTGGTTGTGCTAACCGTCGTCGAGCTGGTCGCCGACGTGCTGCTGACAGTCGTGCTCGATGACTCCGTGGTTGTGCTCACCGTCGTCGAGCTGGTCGCCGACGTGCTGCTGACAGTCGTGCTCGATGATCCCGTGGTTGTGCTCAGCGTCGTCGAACTGGTCGCCGACGTGCTGCTGACAGTCGTGCTCGATGATCCCGTGGTTGTGCTCACCGTCGTCGTGACAGTCGTGCTCGATGATCCCGTGGTTGTGCTCACCGTCGTCGAGCTGCTGACAGTCGTGCTCGATGATCCCGTGGTTGTGCTCACCGTCGTCGAGCTGGTCGCTGACGTGCTGCTGACAGTAGTACTCGATGACTCCGTGGTTGTGCTCACCGTCGTCGAGCTGGTCGCTGACGTGCTGCTGACAGTCGTGCTCGATGACTCTGTTGTTGTGCTCACCGTCGTCGAGCTGGTCCGCGACGTGCTGGTGCCCGTCACCGTCAGGCTCGTCGCCGACGAGCTGGTGGCTGTCGTCGTGTGATTAGTCGTGCTTGATGACCCCGTGGTTGTGCTCACCGTCGTCGAGGTGGTCGCCGACGTGCTGCTGACAGTCGTGCTCGATGACCCCGTGGTTGTGCTCACCGTCGTCGAGCTGGTCGCTGACGTGCTGCTGACAGTCGTGCTCGATGATCCCGTGGTTGTGCTCACCGTCGTCGAGCTGGTCGCCGACGTGCTGCTGACAGTCGTGCTAGATGACCCCGTGGTTGTGCTCACCGTCGTCGAGCTGGTCGCCGACGTGCTGCTGACAGTCGTGCTCGATGATCCCGTGGTTGTGCTCACCGTCGTCGAGCTGGTCGCCGACGTGCTGCTGACAGTCGTGCTCGATGATCCCGTGGTTGTGCTCACCGTCGTCGAGGAGCTGACAGTCGTGCTCGATGTCCCCGTGGTTGTGCTCACCGTCGTCGATGAACCTGTGGTTGTGCTCACCGTCGTCGAGCTGGTCGCCGACGTGCTGCTGACAGTCGTGCTCGATGAACCAGTCGTCGATGATCTCGTGGTTGTGCTCACCGTCGTCGAGGTGCTGACAGTCGTGCTCGATGATCCCGTGGTTGTGCTCACCGTCGTCGAGCTGGTCGCCGACGTGCTGCTGACAGTCGTGCTCGATGACTCCGTGGTTGTGCTCACCGTCGTCGAGCTGGTCGCCGACGTGCTGCTGACAGTCGTGCTCGATGACCCCGTAGTTGTGCTCACAGTCGTCGAGCTGGTCGCCGACGTGCTGCTGACAGTCGTGCTCGATGACTCCGTGGTTGTGCTCACCGTCGTCGAGCTGGTCGCCGACGTGCTGCTGACCGTCGTCGAGGTGCTGACAGTCGTGCTCGATGATCCCGTGGTTGTGCTCACCGTCGTCGAGCTGGTCGCTGACGTGCTGCTGACAGTAGTACTCGATGACTCCGTGGTTGTGCTCACCGTCGTCGAGCTGGTCGCCGACGTGCTGCTGACAGTCGTGCTCGATGACCCCGTGGTTGTGCTCACCGTCGTCGAGCTGGTCCGCGACGTGCTGGTGCCCGTCACCGTCAGGCTCGTCGCCGACGAGCTGGTGGCTGTCGTCGTGTGATTAGTCGTGCTTGATGACCCCGTGGTTGTGCTCACCGTCGTCGAGCTGGTCGCCGACGTGCTGCTGACAGTCGTGCTCGATGACCCCGTGGTTGTGCTCACCGTCGTCGAGCTGGTCGCCGACGTGCTGCTGACAGTCGTGCTCGATGATCCCGTGGCTGTGCTCACCGTCGTCGAGCTGGTCGCCGACGTGCTGCTGACAGTCGTGCTAGATGACCCCGTGGTTGTGCTCACCGTCGTCGAGCTGGTCGCCGACGTGCTGCTGACAGTCGTGCTCGATGATCCCGTGGTTGTGCTCACCGTCGTCGAGCTGGTCGCCGACGTGCTGCTGACAGTTGTGCTCGATGACCCCGTGGTTGTGCTCACCGTCGTCGAGCTGCTGACAGTCGTGCTCGATGACCCCGTGGTTGTGCTCACCGTCGTCGATGAATATGTGGTTGTGCTCACCGTCGTCGAGCTGCTGACAGTCGTGCTCGATGACCCCGTGGTTGTGCTCACCGTCGTCGAGCTGGTCGCCGACGTGCTGCTGACAGTGGTGCTCGATGACCCCGTGGTTGTCGAGCTGGTCGCCGACGTGCTGCTGACAGTCGTGCTCGATGACCCCGTAGTTGTGCTCACAGTCGTCGAGCTGGTCGCCGACGTGCTGCTGACAGTCGTGCTCGATGACTCCGTGGTTGTGCTCACCGTCGTCGAACTGGTCGCCGACGTGCTGCTGACCGTCGTCGAGCTGCTGACAGTCGTGCTCGATGATCCCGTGGTTGTGCTCACCGTCGTCGAGCTGGTCGCTGACGTGCTGCTGACAGTAGTACTCGATGACTCCGTGGTTGTGCTCACCGTCGTCGAGCTGGTCGCTGACGTGCTGCTGAGAGTAGTACTCGATGACCCCGTGGTTGTGCTCACCGTCGTCGATGACCCCGTGTATGTGCTCACCGTCGTCGAGCTGCTGACTGTCGTGCTGCTGAGCGTCGTCGAGCTGGTCGCCGACATGCTGCTGACAGTCGAGCTGCTCGCCGACGTGCTGGTTAAGGTCTGGGTCGAGCCGGTGGACGTCGATGAACCCGTGGTGCTGCTGAGCGTGGTCGAGCTGGTCAGGGATGTGCTGGTCAGGGATGTAGAGGTCTTCGACGTGGTACTCATCGAGGTGGAGCTGGATTCCGTGTTGGACACCGACGTCGACGATGTCGCCGAAATGCTGCTCATCGTGATGGTGCTGGTTATGGTTACGCTTGTCAGCGTTTCAGTGCCCGAGCTAGTTTTCGTGGAGCCCGTGAAGCTGGTGAGCGTGCGGCTACTGGTTCCAGTAGAGCTCGTGAGTGTGGTCGTGCCAGTAAAGCTGGTACGCGTGACGGTGGTCGAGCTGGAGATGGTGATCGTCTCAGAGGTGCTGGTAAGGGTTTCGGTGACAGTGGAAGTGGCAGTGAACGTATCTGACGTCGTAGAGGAAATCGAGATAGAGGTGGATTGCGTAGTGCTTGAAGTCATCGAAGTCGAGGTCAGCGAAGTGGTCGTGCTTTCGGTGCTGGTCCCAGTCTCCGTCGTAGTGACTGTAGGTGTCGTAGTGCTGCACATGGCTACCGATACCTGGTCCTCCAGCCAGCTGGCGCGAGGAGGGCACTCGCGGTCGTCGTCGGGAATGGCCATCTGCTCACCCGAACCCATTTCGAGCCCAGAAGTGTCGATCGGCACCACCATCAAACTCTCCGTGCCGACTGGATATTTGATAGCACCGATGTGCGCGTGATACGCGTTGTCGGCACAACATCCATCTATTCCTCCCTCGACACCAATCTTCTCGACAGTTGCCAGTGGCCCACCCAGCTTCGTCCCATGGCAGTCCGCGAAATAAATCCTGTACGCCTCGATGTATTCCTCGTCGACCTTCCCGTGCCTCTGGTTCGGGCCGAAGGTGACCGAGCCCTCGTAGTAGCCTGGGTAGTCGGTGCCGTCCGCGCCGACCTCTGAGATCCCACACACCCTGCACGTGTACTCCGGATACCCGGGGTACGTCTGCGATACCGGGGGGCCGCCGAACACACTGTTGTCTGCGGGGCAGGTCAGCTCCTCGGACGCGCCCGAGACGCACGGGCTGTCGATGACGGTGGGCGTGCAGCTCTCACCAGCCGGGATGTACTCGCACCCTGTTGAGAGAAACCAACACGCACGCATACGCCTACGCCTGGGGCCCCCCTTCGTCGCGCGCTGATAAGAGGGAGAGGGGAGGGAGGGGTAGGGGTAGGGGGACGGGCGGTAACTTTAGGTCGGGCATGCTCCCCTGCAGGCAGATTGGACGAAAAATGAAACATTCTCCAAAAATATGCAAACATCATACAAAAATAGTCCCCAAAAAACAAAACCCCTGACTATTTTTTGACTATTTCTGAAGATTCCTCCTGTAGAGGGACAGGCCCGACTTAACGGTAACCGAAAAGGTTGGAACAGACTTCTCTGCCCTGGACCCATGACGGGCGTGGCAGCGCACTCGCCACAGCCACGGTTCGGAGTTACCGTCGTGGAAGTCCCTGTCGTTGAGCTCTCGGTCGTGCTCGTCGCAGTTGTGGAGGTAAGTGACACGGATATCGTTGTGCCGCTGCTGCTTGCCGTCGCCGACGAGAGTGTCGTCGAAGACTGGCTGGACGCTGTGGTGACGGACATACTCAGCGTGGTCAGCGAAGTCCGTGACAGGGAGAGCGAGGAAGTCGAGGTCGCCGTCGTAGAGGTCAGGGTGGAGGTCATGGATTCAGTGGAGCTCACCGTAGTGGTGGTCAGAGTGGACGTCGTCCCCGAGGACGTCGTCCCCGAGGACGTCGTCCCGGTGATGGTAGTCCGGGTGGTGGTGGTCAGAGTCGAAGAAGTGGTTTCAGTTAACGTGGATGTGCCCGTCGTGCTCGTCAAAGTGATGGTGTAAGTACTAGTCATCGTCGTGCTCGATGATCCCGTGATTGTGCTCTTCGTTGTCGAACTGGTCGCAGTCGTGCTCGATGATCTCGTGGTTGTGCTCACCGAAGTCGAGCTGGTGCTAGACCCCGTGTTTGTGCTCACCGTCATCGAACTGGTCTCTGAAATGGTGCTGCCTGTCGTGCTCGATGACCGCGTGGTTGTGCTTTTCGTCGTCGAGCTGGTCACCGTCGTGCTCGATGACTCAGTAGTTGTGCTCTTCGTCGTCGAGCTAGTCACCGTCGTGCTCGATGACCCCGTCGTCGAGCTGGTCGCCGACGTGCTGCTGACAGTCGTGCTCGATGACTCTGTGGTTGTGCTCACCGTCGTCGAGCTGGTCGCCGACGTGCTGCTGACAGTCATCGTCGAGCTCGTCGCGGACGTGCTGAAGGCGGTCGTGCTCGATGACTCCGTGGTTGTGCTCACCGTCGTCGAGCTGGTCGCCGACGTGCTGCTGACAGTCGTGCTCGATGATCCCGTGGTTGTGCTCACCGTCGTCGAGCTGGTTGCCGACGTGCTGCTGACAGTCGTGCTCGATGACCCCGTGGTTGTGCTCTTCGTCGTCGAGCTGGTCTCCGACGTGCTGGTGGAGCTCACGGTCGTCGAGCTGGTAGCGGTAATAGTCGTGGTGGATGACCGCGTGGTTGTGGTCTTCGTCGTCGAGCTGGTCACCGTCGTGCTCGATGATCCCGTGGTTGTGCTCTTCGTCGTCGAGCTGGTCTCCGACGTGCTGGTGGAGCTCACGGTCGTCGAGCTGGTAGCGGTAATAGTCGTGGTGGATGACCGCGTGGTTGTGGTCTTCGTCGTCGAGCTGGTCACCGTCGTGCTCGATGATCCCGTGGTTGTGCTCTTCGTCGTCGAGCTAGTCACCGTCGTGCTCGATGACTCAGTAGTCGTGCTCTTCGTCGTCGTCGAGCTGGTCGCCGAAGTGGAGCTGACGGTCGTGCTCGATGAACCCGTGGCAGTGCTTACCGTTGTGGAGCTGCTGACAGACGTAGAAGACGAACCTGTGGAAGTGTCCGTGGCGCTAGTCCTCGTAGGAGTCGACGTCCCCGTGGTTGAACTGACTGTCGACAAGCTTGTCGATGACGTGATGGTGGGAGTCGTCGAGGACGATGCAGAGGATGATGTCCCAGAAATGGACGTCCCAGAAATGGACGTCCCAGAAATGGACGTCCCAGAAATGCTCGAGAGAGTGCTGGTGGCAGAAATGGTTGTTGAACTGCTCTCCGTCGCGCTGCTGGCAGTAGTGGACGTGAGCGAGGAAGTGGAAGACTTCGTTGTTGAACTTGTCTCGCTTGAGGTCAAGGTGGTGGAGCTGGTGGCGGACGAGCTTGTCAGTGTTGTGGTGCTGCTGGCAGTAGTGGATGACACTGTGGTCGAACTGGTCCAACTTGTGCTGGTGTCGGTCGAGCTTGTTAGCGTGAAGCTGGTGTCGGTCGTGCTTGTCAGCGTGCTGCTGGTGGTCGTGCTCGTCTGGCTCGTGCTCGTCTCGGTCGTGCTGCTGGTACCCGTCGTCGAACTGAGAGTCAAGCTGCTGCTTCCCGTCGAGGAAGAGAGTGTAGAGGTACTCGTCGCCGACGTGCTTGTGAGCGTCGTGGATGACGTCTCGGACGCTGTGCTCTCCGTAGTCGTCGTCGTTGTCGTCGTGCAGACAGGCGTCTCCGGCTGTTTCGCAACAAGGCTGTAGGGCGCCGGACAGCCGTCAGACACGTCGTCCCAGTTGTCGCTGAAAGGTTCCACGACTCCGACGGTCATCTCCGTGCCGTTGGTGTCGACAGGCATGATCACGACGGCCACGGCATCCTAGGGCATGGCACTTGGGCGTACGAAAAGTACGACGATCCACTCACAACACCAGAAAGGATCCGAGGGGCGACGAAGCGAATAGCCGCCTTGGCACTTGCCAAGAAGGCAAAGCAATTAGCCCGGCGCACACCGAATTAGGAGTTCTGTGCAACGAATAGGCAAGTTGTGCAACACGATGGGAAGCAGTGCAAACGCAACGCAAAGTAATACAATCGAAACCAATGGCCTGCACTTCACCGTAAAAGACAATGCAACGCGAGATCAAGTTACTTCGAATGATCACTCCAAGGAGCTTCAGGCCATCAAGATGTATGGTCTGAATGTCAGCGTTTGGCCGACGCCATTGATATATAGTCGTGATGCGTTCTTGATGTGTGCTTTGATGCATGCTACTGGCGTCTGATGTGTATAAGTGTTCATGGTGCTTGACATGGATGTATGCTTTCGCCGTATGCTATTGATGTACGCTCTCGGCGACTAGCATTGATATATGTCAGTTGATGGTGCATCTTGTTGATTGGTGTTGTTGTATGTTGCTGGTATATTGCTGGCGTATGTGATTGATGAGTGTGATTGACTTGTGTTGTTGGTGTATGGTCTTGATGTGTGAAATAGGTGCCTGTCACTGAGGCGTGATGATGGTGTATGTCTTTGGTGGTTGACGGTTAGCACTTCTGTCGACGTATGATGTTGATCTATGCGGTCGGTGCGTACTATGATGCATGGTCTGGGTGTCTGTGCTTGACGCACGCTGGTGGTGACTATTTTTGGTGACGGCTGTTGACGTACGTGACTGGTGTACTTCATGGTGGATGGTAGTGTTGCCTGCTTGTGGCGGCTGTCTTTGACGTATGAGGCTGGTGCATATGTACATGTGCATATGCATAGAGACGCACGTACATGTGAAATTAGGGTATGGTACTGGTGCATGCGACTAACGCGTGTTACTGCTACACTGGAGTTGTCGCTGCGAGTGATATATGCTGTGTGCATGCTGCTGGTATATGTCGTTGGTGTATGTCATTGTCGTACGGCCTTAGGAATATGTTCTAGGTGTACGTTCTGAGTGCACGTTCTTAGTGTGTGCTCTTGATGCCTGTTCTTAGATATTTGTGGACGTCGCGACGTCGTGGCGACTGGGCGGCGAGAAGCGGTGGCACCTCCCTGGTGGGGTTGCCTGTTAGTTTCGCCTGCCCTTTATGTGTTGTCAATATATTGTCATTGGATTATCGGGGATATCTCGGGCCTGACGGCCCTCGGTAATTATGTAGGGCGGGCGAGGCGGGGTACCTGGGCCCACCCGAACTCTTGGTGCCTGCCCCCGCGGTACGCAGGGCGGGCGAGGCGGGACACGCAGGGACCAACCACCTGGGGACTCTTGGGGCCTGGCGGCCGCGGTATGCAGGGCGGGAGGGGCGTGTCGGGAACCTCTTTAATCCCGACGCCTCAACCTGTCGGGTGAGCAAAAAGTAGCGCAAAAGCAACGCAACGCAATGACATGTGATGCAAAAGCAACATAATGCAGCGCATTGCAACGTAATGCGAAACGGAGGAACTAAATGCGTCACACGTTCAATGCGAAGCAATTCAGATGCATTGTAACGCAACTGAGTAACTGAGTAAAGCGACATGTAAAACCAATGCCAAAGCAATGCCATGAAACGCGTTGCAATTCCACAACCATGGGTACACAAAAGAAGGCAAAAGTAGTGCAAAAGCAATGCAGAAGCAATTCAAACTAATTATACGGTGAAAGTAAATGCAATGCAACATAACGCAGTGGAAAGCACTTCATGAGCAATACGACAAAGTGCAAATCAATGAAAAAGCCATACAAACACAGTGCAAAAGCAATACAAAAGGCAATACACAGACAACCCACCGTAATCCAAACTCAACTATAAGTGATTGCGAACACAATGGTCGAAGCAAAAACTACATTCAAAGCGACGCAAAAGAATTGCAAAGGAATTACATCACCGACGCAACGCAGTCCAGACGTAATGCAAAGCAAAAGCAGAAGCACACGCAATGCTATGCTATGCTATGCTATACGCGCTGCGATGGTACAGAGGATGCTGTGCGAGGCTAGGCTCTGACGTCTCGCGCCAGGGCCCCAGAGCCCAAGAGTTGCCAGCGCAACCGACGCAACGGCCATCGACACTCGACCCCCTAGGCAGAGCCAAATATGGAGAAAAACTGAGTGAGTTGTTGTGCAAGCCACCGTTCTCGAATGTCCTTCGTGACCTCTATGCAGGACAACGACACGGTATACTTGCCAGGGTCGCAACACGAGCCTGAGGAGGATACTGTGTCAACGGGTACGGTTGCAAGGGCATGGCCGATCGGAGCGCTCTCATTGTCGGCAAGGTAGACGCGGTACTCGGAGATCGGATCCTCGTCGACAGCACCCTTCATCTGGTTAGGCCCGAAACGCAGCGTTCCTGTGTACCAGCCCCGGCGGGTGTCCTCATCAGCGGTCATCCCGTAGATACCGCAAACCTTGCACTGGACGTACGGGTATGAGGACAAAGCCGTGGGCGGCAACTCCGTGTCGAAATTGCTAGCAGGACAAGTCAACGACGGCCCTTCGATGGGGGTGATGCATTCGCTCTGCAGCGTGGATGCCTGTTGCGCAACGAAGCCAGAGAGAGGGTTTGCCGCACAGCATGTAGCAGAAAAGAACAACAATAAAGGCACGGGGGGGCGCGGGAGCGGGGACTGAAACACAAAAGAATACACCACACCCAGCACCAACTTGGACGTCTTGCTTTGCAACATGCGGGGGAGTCAGTCATGATCTGACAATCCTGGGCATCAAAACTATCCACCTAAACCAATTTTCGTTTCGCCCTCGTGCCATCATGGAACTCATACACAGTAAAAGCAATAACACATAACAATCAAGAAAACGCGCAGACACAAACACAGTGCACATAAAAGCATACACATCATGCACATGCACATACGCGCACACATGAACCTACATAAACACGTACACACGTGTATTCCTCCGGGGACGTGGGTCACAGTCCCGTCGAAAAAACGCGGGCCGCGCAACAAAAACGTCAATCGATGTGATTCGAACGCGCTCGGGGGGAAAACAAAAAAAACGTGTTGTCCCGAATTAGGGGCAGGCTGCGGTGAGCCACAAAGCGAGAGCGACGATAGAGCGCACACAAGACCAATGAGCAATTTGCAAGCTCGCTGCACTGCACGCACACGCGATCACACGCACGTATTTATTTTGCGTTTCGAGGCAACGGAGCATCGGCCAGTCTTCAAGTAGTTACCCGTATACTAAAGCTGCGCACGAACGTATGTCTACCGCGGTCGAGCCGAGACTGTGTGACCCCGGGCGGGGGACAGATGACGGCGAGCGTGCAAGGCCACACAAAATGAGAGACCACACAGCCAAACAACTTCGCTTCCGATGCCATCAGTGAGGGGTGCAGTTACGGGTTCATCTGAAGTAGTACACGCTTGCAGACAATGTACTACGTCCTCCAATGCGGCGAGGGGCGCATTTACCAGAACCCTCTCAAGGGCCGCCAAGAATCCTCTCAGGGGCCGCCAAGTACCCTCTCAGGGGCCGCCAAGAATCCTCTCAGGGGCCGCCAAGTACCCTCTCAGGGGCCGCCAAGAACTTTTCTGGCCGCCGCCGAGAACCCTCTCGGACGTTCCATCTACTGAGCATACACTTCGATCTTCCGCCAGAGAACGAGTCGTTCAACCGGGGAACAAGATCTTCTCCTCCATCCCTCAATCTCTTCCTCCCTCTCCCCCTCCCCCTCTCTCTCTCCCCATCTCTCCCCCTCTCTCCCCCTCGCTCCCCCTCTCTCACCCTCTCTGCCCCTCTCGCCCCTCTCTCTCGCCCCCTCTCGCCCCCTCTCTCCCCCTCTCTCCCCCTCTCTCCCCCTCTCTCCGCCTCTCTCCCCTCTCTCACCCCTCTCTTTCCCCTCTCCCCTTCTCTGCCCTCTCGCCCCCTCTCTCCCCCTCTCCCCCCTTCTCTCTCCCCCTCTCCCCCTCTCCCTGTCTCCCCTCTCTCCCCCTCTCTCCCCCTGTCTCCCCCTGTCTCCTCCTCTCTCCCCCTTCCCCCCCTCTCTCCCCCCCCTTCTCTCCCCCCCTCTCTCCCCTCTCCCCCCCCCCCCCCCCGCGGAGTTAGGTGTTCGCCTGCATGTTTTCCAAAGTGCTGTTTTCGCTGAGGCGCCGGCCTCCTTTTCGGGGCCCGCTCGTTCCGAATTGCGTTCCCGCTGCAGCGCTGGCCTCATTTCCGTGCTCCCGCTCATTCCGAATCGTGCTCCCGCTGCAGCGCTGGCCTCATTTCCGCGTTTCCGCTCGTTCCGACTCGCGTTCCCGCTGCAGTGCTGGCGTCATTTCCCGTGCCATGCCACGGCACGCAATGCAATGCTAAGTTGATGCTACGCGTTGCGGTGTTTTTCTAAGCCATGCCATGCCGTGTTCTACAATGCATCGCGTACCCTTTTCGGGATCATTGCCCTGCTCGACATCCGACTGAACGAGTAGAGAGGGGATCTGCGCCATGGCAAGGGACGGGAATGAGGGGTCGGATGTCAGATATGCCGCGCGCGCACCTAGTTCCCCCCCCTCCCCCTTTCCCTCTTCCCCCCCCTCTCCCCCCACTCCCCCCCTCCACATTTCAATATGAATACTACTCTCGTTTTCCTCTGATGACGCGCTGGGAGTGTTCGCCCCCCCCCCCCCCCCCCCCGCGTCCTGCTTTTTTACACACAGAATTCCCGGGAGTTCGGTTGTCGCTTGCATTTGTTCCAAAATGCTGCTCTCGCTGAGGCGCGGGCCTCATTTTCGGGCCTACGCTCGTTCCGAATCGTGTTCCCGCTGCAGCGTTGGCCTCATTTCCGCGCTTCAGCTCGTTCCGAATCGCGCTGCCGCTGCAGCGCTGGCCTCATTTCCGCGCATCCGTTCGTTCCGACTCGTGCTCCCGCTGCAGTGCTGGCGTCATTGCCTGTGCCATGCCACGGCATGCCATGCAATGCTAGGTTGATACTACGCTTTGCCGTGCTCTTCTACGCAATGCCACGCCGTGTTCTACAATGCATCGCGTACCCTTTCGGGATCATTGCCCTGCTCGACATCCGACTGTGCGAATATGAGAGGGGATCTACGCCATGGTAAGGGATGGGAGGGAGGGGTAGGATGTCAGATATGGACGCGAGGCGCACCTAGCTTGCTCCCCCCCTCTCCCCTGCCCCTCCCCTCCCCCTCCCCCTCCCCCTCCCCTCCACCCCTATGCCCCCCCCCCTCTCCCCCGCCTCGCCCCTCTCTCTCCCCCCCTCCACCACTCTCCTCCCCCTCTCCCCCTTTCCCCCCCATTCCCCCCTCTCCCCCCTCTCCCCCTATCTCCCCCCTGCCCCCCTCTCCCCCCCTCTCCCCCCTTTCCCCCCCCTTAGTCCCCCTTCCCCCCCCCTCTCCCCATTTCCCTCCACCTCTCAAACCCTCCCCCCCCCTACTCCCCTCTTCCTCGGATGACGGAACGGGAGTAGCCGACCCCCCCCCCGAGTATTGTTTTTGTTGCACACAGGTTTCCCCGGAGTTGGGTTTTCGCCTGCATTTTTTCCAACATTCTGCTCTCGCTGAGGCGCCGGCCTCATTTTCGAGCCCCGCTCGTTCCGAATCGTGTTCCCGCTGCAACGCTGGCATCATTTCCGCCGGCGCCCCGGCTGCACGCCCGAGTTGGCGCCCAGGCCGGCGCTCAAGCTCGGGCCGGGTCCGGAGCCGGTTCTGGCCGCAGCCAGAAAATCAAGTTCCCAGGCGGCGCCGAAAAAAAACCATTCTAACACACAAATTTCTTTTGAAAATGCTGAATTTTTGTTTCCGGCGCCCGGGTGGCCTCCCAGGCCGATTCCGACTCCCAGGCCGGCCCGAGCCGGCGCCTGGGCCAGACGCCCGAGGCAGCGCCCGGGCCGGCGCCCGGGCCGGGTCCGGAGCCGGTTTCGACCGGCGCCGGAAAATCGAGTTCCGAGGCGGCGCCGAAAAAAGGCCATTCCAATACACATTTTTCTATATTAAAAATGCTAAATTCCTGCTTCTGGCGCCCGGGAGGCCTCCCGGGCCGATTCCGACGCCCGGGCCAGCGCCCGAGCCGGCGCCCGGGCCGGACGCCCGAGCCCGCGCCCGGGCCAGCGCCCAGGCCGGGTCCAGAGCCGGTTCCGGCCGCCGCCGGAAAATCGAGTTCCGAGGCGGCGCCGAAAAAAGGCCATTCCAAAACACATTTTTCTATATTGAAAATGCTGAATTCCTGCTTTTGGCGCCCGGGAAACCTCCCGGGCCGATTCCAGCGTGCTTCCGCTCAGTCCGAATCGTGCTCCCGCTGCAGCGCTGGCCTCATTTCCGCGCTTCCGCTCGTTTCGACTCGCGTTCCCGCTGCAGCGCTGGCGTCATTTCCCGTGCCATGCCACGGCATGCCATGCAATGCTAGGTTGATACTACGCTTCGCGGTGCTCTTCTACGCCATGCCACGCCGTGCTCTACAATGCATCACGTACCCTTTCGGGATCATTGCCCTGTTCGACATCCGACTGTGCGAGTAGTGAGTGGATCTACGCCACGGTAAAGGG